ATTCTCCTACGGAAAGCGGCTTCTAAAATTTAGCGGTTACATTATCCAGGAGGTACAGTCCGTCATAGTGAGTGTTGGAGATAGCTATCAAAAGCTCAGAAATGCAAAGATTATTTCGGGAGACCTCAGATTGGACGTGCAGGTTAGCCTGCAAACTCGAGATGATATACAAGGGGTGGGAGTTATCAGTATATTTTACTAGCTCAATATGTGACTTCCAAAATCAACAAGATGGTAGGTGCGTTAAGTAGCCAATTACCCTTATAAGCCAGAGCGAGATTATAGCCGCGTAGAGCAGGTGTGGTTGGTGTGGTTCGGCACTATGACCATTCCGCTAGACTAACTGGCAACAGAGGCAGAAAGTAGGACTGTCACTCACAAATAGCAATTATGCATATGTCGCTGCTGTACAGAGAGAAAAGGAATGAAGGCCAGTACTTTTCAAGGTACTAAGTCACGCAACTCGGAGGCGAGTTTCGATAAGAAGACACGAAAAGCCTCGTTGTTGCATGTGTTGCCCAGTTTTCGCATGAAAATTCTCAGGTTCCGACCCATCTTTGGGTAGGCGCTTGCAAAGTGAGCGAATTTCTGGAGAGTTTTGCCAAAGGAGGAACCGGTAAACTCCTGTAGAACCGCCGACAAGAGGGTGGTGTTGGCCTCCGATGCGTCACCAAAGTTGAACTTCTAAACAGGAGATAAAGTAAAGTAGAGAGCACATATTAAATTCCCGAGTAATATTTTCATAAAAGACCGGACTACCATTTTAATGGCATGTGAAGAAATAAAACTGGAATAAGGGCATCAAATCTAAATTTTACAATTTCCTCAGAACTTAGTGCGCGAATTTGCAGTTAAAACGCGTGGACAAAACTTTCCAGTCTCGGCCCGAAAGGTAGTATGAATAATTGAACTGGAACCCATCAGTTACTGCAAACACGCGCATGGGCACTACATACGATCGAGATAACCAACAAATAGTCACTGCACCAAGTTTGTTCAAAACGTTCTGCCGTTAGAATACCGTTGCCATCATCATTGAAGCCCAGATAAAGACGACCACAAAGGCACAAAAGATAATAGATGTTATTAGGATGGTCACTTGTAACCTTTCAGGCGACAGATGCAGAACTAGCTGGTTGTCAAATGGTGTACCCAATAACCTGTCGCATAAACCGGAGCGCCAAGCAGCCAACATTTTTCTTTCCATGAGACTTTCCACAATGCCCAAAAAGCCAGAAATAGTGTAAAAAGGAGTCCCATCATTGCTATTTCTTCACTACATTGACTATTAGTGGCGCGATGTCCAAACGAAAGTTTGACTGGAATGTGTTGCAAGCAATAGAATCTGGATCTGCCCCAACTAAAAATATGAAACGACACCCCTCGCCCAAAAAGCCCGCGAGTTGCGAAGACAATGGATGATATCAACTGCCGGAAGTCACTCATAAACGTCATCTGAGTGTTTAATTTTGGAAGGAATCGGGAACACTAGACATCGAGCTAACTGGTAACGACGATACGGAAGTCCGATTCTGCAAGTTCGTTTAAAACTACCGTCACAAGATCAAACCGTAAAATGAACTGCTATAGCCTGGATTTCTAAGGAAACAAGGAGCTAGCTTGAAACCTGCCAGCAAGATACTAGTAGTATCAATACCCAGTCAGCTAAAGCAGTTCCATAAGAGCTCCCATTTCCCGAAATTGACGTCACTAAATAACGCAGTTCGAGGAGGTGCGGAAAAGTGAAACCAAGAAAGGTAGGCCTTTCAAGGTTACCCTTGGATCGTTTCCCCAAACTCTGGATATAAACTTACATATACATGGCTTACGGAACTAGTATAGGTGCACCTACTGTCTCGTATAATAGATGTGCAGTAGGTCTATTCAATTGTAGAAATGGAGTGGTAGTGGTATGCTTTAGCAAGCTTAACAAGAGGTTTGACACGGTAAAATCGGTTTATTAATCATCAAAGGGCACCTTATAAATCC